TAATTGTATACAAAATTTAAAATGGCCATACGCGTTTAACAGAATTGTTTATATACTACGCTATTTTGTTCACATATTTTGTTCACTGACTTTTTGATCGAATCGTAGCCATTTAGGCTAGTGAATTGAGTCGACATGCGTCAACTATTAACAGAGTAAATATTCTATGAATCAGATTCGTAACAAGCCTAATTCTAATGATATTCAAGTTATAGACACATTAAAAAGAATTTTTTACTAACTGTCAAATGTTTGCATGGGTCCTGCTTCTGTAATTTACCCCCATAACTTCCATCATTGAAAAATGTTGAATCCGAAATCTCGTTTATGCCTTTTATACAATATTTTATGTGTAGTATCGCGTTTCAAGAAGTGAAGTAAAAGTAGATATGCTTTACCCTGAGACATATGTATATGAATTTGCCAATTTGCATGACATCAGGTGTCATTTGACACATTTCCTACTATTATAGATATCTATTCAAATGGCATTACTGACATGCACGACAGAACAGTTTCAAAAATCACAATGTGCAATGTGGAACGATGTACTAGCGATGCTGATTGCATTGCAACCCATTTATCACATAGCTGTCTGAAAGAAATTGATACATGTTCGTGGCGAAACACATGTTCACTGTCGCCTATGTCAACATGATCAATTGGATACTTTCTACCCAGGTGCATAAAATGACCCACCACAATGATTCCAAGACAATATGTTTATAATAAATTACCTTGCTAGCTGAAAAAATAACAAATAATCACGCAAGTCGAATTATTGAGTTGGGAAGGAATTTAGTGGGGCTACATCATACACTTTCTCGCACGATTTGTAACGGTTCCGCAACATGAACCCGCAAAAGTGTTTCCAACCAGCAATTATTTTTCACGTCGTGATTCGAACTCATGGCCATCGAGTTAGCTCGCCATGCGTATTCCCGCGACCCAACGCAGCTGCTCTCCTTCTAAAATCTATTTCTCTCTCCCATTATTTTCAACTTGCAATTTTAGAAAATTCACAGAGTCCATCAAACTGAAATCTGCGCCATATTTAAGCATCCTTGGAAACATTTAGGGAAAAATTGGGGTTTTACATTTTAATTACATTAATTTCAAGCAGAAATTACATAACTACGCGTTTTTCCAAAACATTGCTCGTACATGATCATTTTTAAAGTTCTGATTTTTACTTTCTCGCTTTCTGCTTACGCAGTTCAAACTATTCAAGTTCAGCTGGAAAAAACAGCATTATTTCGACAGAAAACTGTTATTGCCGGGGCCCGGTAACGAGAAAGGGGATAATTATTTATCCAGCATGTTGAAAATTACTTCCTGTAGCACGTTGTGTTGTCATAATCCATGTTTCGTGGGTCCTTGATACTGAAACATCGATGACATGAAGCTTCAATAACACTTTCAAAATTTTCCAGCAATATTATTTCCAGCAATTTGCATACATTATTGCATTTGTGACTAAAAGTGATTCAGATGAGTTCAAATCAAAATCGTTCAAAATTCATAAATTTTTTGTAAAAAAAGGTTCAAATTTCGCATTCACGGTAAAGCTTAAACATCATTTTCTTTAAAATGGCTTCAATGCCTTCAACGAAAATAGCCATTTAGAACTAGGCTTTCCTCTTCTTTAATATTTTTTAAAGTAGTATTTCAAGCCTACCAACTTCAATAAATTAGAAAGTTTTACTACAAGAAAGCATGTGTTATTCTGTTACATCACTCGTTTCTTCCCCTATTTTCTCCTTTTGACACAAACACTAATTACAATTAATAATGCATGTACGAGTATGTATTTTTTTGGAGTTTTAGGATCACATTATTGCCAGATACCGGTGTACCCAGCCTTGGACTTTTTACTGACCCGTAGACATCAAGCTGGAAGGGAAATACGCAGACAAGGCCGCCCAGTGTCAAGATGAAGTGCGGCCCAGGAACATCAGGGAGGTCAGCCCCTGCCACTCGTGGTAGAGGCCCTGGGCGAGTGGTGCTCAAGGAGCATGGCGGTACGAAACAAACTGCTAAAGACAGAGAGAAAATGGAAGAGGAGATTAGGAATAAAGCAATGAGATGTGAGGAGATGGGAAGGCGATGAGATATGGGAGGGAGAGGGGGATGATATTGGGAAGAAGTAAAAAAGGGCGAGGCGAGACAGTGGTCAGTGTGAGAAGCAGAAAGGCTAGATTTCTTCAGGGAAAGACGGTATGCGACAGAAGAGAGGATTAGAGTGAAAGAAAATCGTAAGGAAGAAGATAGCGAGTTACAAGATCAACAGACGTTTCAGACAAGTCGTAACTCTGTGTAACAAGGGTTGTATAGAGTATAGACAGAAAGTCTAGAATAGAACAAGATACGTTAATGGAAAAAGAATGGATAATAGTAGAACAAGGATAGCAAGCTTTAGTGAGGTAATGTGGTCAGCTGACTGGGCTGGGGAGATAGGGAACGTACGATATATTGGGAAGGAAGAGGCGAGGGAGCATGCAATAGAAGTGTACAGCAGATAGGCGAGGGTATAGGTAAGAGATTAGTGTAATAGAGATAATAGAGATAGTGAAGCAGGTCCTGCAGAATGATGGGGGAGGGAAAGAGATATGATAGAAATTCAGGAAAGAAGAAATGGGCAGCCAATGATAACGTGAGGAAAATAAAGTTCTTAATAATAATAATAATAATAATAATAATAATAATAATAATAATAATAATAATGTCTTTATTAGTAGCCCCAGGTAGAGATGGGCTTAACAGCTTTTCTTCAATAACTTTTATCGCAATAACAGTCGACTTGTAATAACAGTTAATGATGACAGTTGAAAAATAACACGTCCACGATCAGCAAGCTAACATGGTCGACTGCTAAGAGTTAAATCAGTTGTGGCGACTTCTGAGAGGTAAAACAGGCCAAACGACTAACGTTGGTAGCGCCGTAAAGCTACCGTATGGCGCTTGCGTGAACTACTTCCTAAAACATTTGGACAGAGAAACAGCTGAGATGAACGAAATCGGATCAACTGCCAAGGAAGAATAGGAATTGATAAGATGAGTAGTGAATGTGCGTAGAATGTGTGATTCGGGTTATTGTTTCGGTCGATTACGAATATTCTTTTGATTATGCAACTTGTGCATAGTGTAGTGACGAGTACCAAAAATGACAAGGATAAACTGTATATTTGCTTACCTACAGCTTAAGTGGTAATGACTGTTGAATGTCAAACGTTATAACGCCAGGTATGTGACCGTTACTAATTTTATTTTATCTGATTTAAGGCAATATTAGTGGATCTCACCTCGACAGCAATGGGACAGAAAGAAGTTAACAAACATATTGGAGGGATTTAATTTAAAGGACAAACTTATTTTTGTATACAAGAAAATATAAAAATATTGTGGCACAGGTGTAATAATGACAAATTATTTATTAATAAATCTATAATTTGAACACTTGCTAATCACGATTGATTAGCTGCAGTGAAACTGATCGTAGAAAATGGTTGTCGCGAAAGCTTGTAGTGGTTCGGATTTGGTCCAGTAGATTGCAATGCTATGTATTTGAACTGATAACAACTAATAACAGAATAAACGAAATAACTGTTATTTCGTGTAAGAGTTACAAAACGTCACCTGTTAAGAAATAACAGTTTAGCTGTTAAAGGCACATTGCTAGTCCCAGGTCATAGGGCTTGCTCTTGAGTCGAAACACACGGGTTAATGAAACATTTTTAAAATTATAAAAAGCCTTGATGCTGAACGTAAACTAGTTATTAAATATGATAGGTCAGGCATGTCAAGGTCGCAGGTAATGTCACAAGCTTACTAGAGCTCAGGGCACCGCTCCTAGAGAAATTGGCGCGAGATTTAAAAGTAAGAGCTGAACAATGCTACGGAGTAGCGGTATGTCATTTGATACTGGGCCCTTGACAGTTTTTGGGAGAAGGTATTTGACAATTATTGTCACAAATTTACCTATAATAATTCCCATTTTCTCTTAAATATAAACCAATTATCCATTAAAATTAACTAATACATCAGACCGATATCAAATTCTTATTTAAGAGTAAAATTTCAAAAAAAATATAAATCCAAAGTATCTTGATTTTGTGATCTTCACTACTTGAAAGTGGTACAAAAGCACGAGCTTTCTACGTTCATGTTATAAGGTTTGACAGACATATTCTTGCCTGTTAAAACACTGCCCGTCTGTAAGCGAGAATTGAACACTTATATAGATTTGTTAAATTATTTCACATTATTGCTGAATACAATAAATAATTGAACGATTTAATAACACGATACAAAACGAAAAAGGATTCGCCATTTAAACACATTCCTGTCACTTAGCACGAATGTTTATGAAAGGGATAATTAAACAAGAAAATAAACATCAAATAGTAATAGGTAGTGAAGAACATAAACATGATACAATTCTGGGTTATTTGATAGAAAAAATCCGGCAGATTTTCGTGAGAAGCCACAATTCACCGCCTCGCGCCGCTTCAGCTCGCGCATGGACACCCCTTTCTGGGTTTTAAGAGGAACTAGTTCGGAGTTAGGGGACGTAGCCCGTGCCCTTACTCGTAGGACCGCCGATCTCCCCAGGCGGGCAAGTAGCTCGAGTGCGCGCAGTTTGACGTGCCATACCCTATCACATAGGGTATGAAACAGATCAAGCAGTAGTTGTGAAAGTAATAAACACACGATGTTATGAAAACAGGTAATAAAGTACTGTAAACATGTTTATGAAAATATTCTTGATAAGCATTCATAAGATATATGATAGTGATTATGGTCTTAAATGTGATTAAGGTCTCCGAGAAGAAAATTTTGGAATACACTTCTTCTTCTTCTTTTTCTTCTTCATTACTCTTCATACAAAACCTTGTAACTGAATCAATGGAGATGTTTTTAATTCACCATCAAAATCTGAAGGTGCTCGTGTGCCTTGCAACACAGAAAAATGGCACACTTTCAAAAGCGTGACATTAAACCGATGATCAAATCGAATATTAATTCCTTAGAATGGATGCCCCAAATAAAATCCATGTGACTAAAATGATCCTTGGGGATTTGGAATTTGCCAATTGGGTTTATGGTGTTCCTGTACAGCCTGTCCACGTCCTAGATAACAGAAAAAGTTCACAATTACCACAAGTTAAATTTTGTGAATTATCTATAAAATAAAAGTTTGTTTACAACTGTGAGTATCACACAAGAAGTAGTTGGTCTTCCAGTAAAGGGATAAGTCTCAACTTTCTCACGAATACTTTTGAGCAACGAAGAATCAAAGATAACGTTGTTGCCATTCAGCATGTGTTACCCGAAAATTTATCATTTTAAACAAAAATATACAAAATTCATTTAGAATATACGCAGCCTAACTATGAAAGCGACTCATTGTTAAAATCAAAATATCCGAACCGAGAGGAGGGAATTGTAACTATCTATGTGTATTACGTACATTGTATACATGAAGACATATAACGGGTAAGAGAATAATTAATTACTGAAGAATATTTCTACAAATGACATGGACGCGGCGACAATCGGCGAACGCTGTGCGCACAAAACTATGTTGGGCGTTAAGAAGTTGAAATAACCACTGAAAATGTATATTACCACAGAACAATCATTTGATTGCTCATTTTACATTTAATTGTTAGATGTAAACTGTTTCTATTACAAAATGACAACTTTTGCCAGTTTCAACTTTCTCGCATACTTTACGCAGTTTGGAGAATTGTAATCCTGCGGGAAGAAACGGTAATTTTCGACAGAAAACGTACAATATTTCAGGGCCCTTGTAAGGAAAAATTGGATAAATTGTGTTCCTATATGTAGTTAATTACTCTCTTCAATACCTTGTGTTGCCATTTTGGAGTCACAAAATTAACATCGCAAAAATACATTACTCAAGACCAAAATTTCTATCTTAATAAAATGTGTTCTTCAAAATTAGACCTTTAAATAAAAATATGCACTTTTTAAAAAAATAGGAGCTGTTCCGCGCAAATTTTTCAATGTTTTAAATTGCAGATTCGAAATTCCCGCACGTTTTTCTAGAATCTTCCATAAATCAGGTTGCAATACAATGGGAACGCCGCAACACAGGAGTTTGGAATTATCATAATAACGTCTCGTTCTTATGCGGGGTTTTGGGCTGAATGGAACTGAGTTTGGATTGTCGAATTTGTGTTAATATATTTGAAGGGTACAGGGGAAGAAGGGGCTCATTGCAATTTCACAAAATATGTTTGATTGGCTCCTTAGCTTGTTCAGGAAACTTGCATTCTTGCTACTGAAAAAAAGGGGCTGGTTAACAGCGATAATTTCAAATGAACAAAAAAGCTACTGGGGAAGAATGGGCTCATATTGCTGCTGTAATAAAGAAGGACTCATTGAGGTATTATTAGAAACATTCGTTTTTATTTTTCCTGTGTGGGTACACTATGTTGTTGGTGCTCCTGTTGGAGCGGTGGGACAATTGTGCCTTTGTCTTGTCCGATGAGTGTCTTGTAAGTGAGTCCCAACTGCAGTCTAACGTTAGAAATTGCAGTAAATAGTAAGTGTGGAGAGTAAAATGTCGGAACCAAAAAGTAAGACAAGAAAAACTCAAGGAAATAAGAGAGATGTGCGAAAAAGGCTTCAGGTGCAAAGTCATGAAATGTGTAGAATTTGTTTGTGTAGAAGAAATTGTTTTCAAAAGATTACAGTAGAAAATAGATACAACATATTAAAGGCTTTTAACTTGATTGAATCTGTAATTTCGCAAAATTCGTATCATTTCGGGTTATTATCAGTGAAACAAAGAATGGAAGACGCTGATTGTAATTATGATGCTGTGTAGAAGTGTAGAGTTATGGTTAAGGGCGGTGAATTAAAAAGATATAGAAATGTGCCTAGAGGCGTTCATCGCAATGCAAGGAGTCAGAGAAGTGGAGGAGCTCATGAGAAGCTTGAAATCTACAGGATGTTCACCACACGAGAAAAGAGGTAAACTTGGTAATAAATCACACAAACTAACGACTGAGTTTAGTAGGATATACGTTCATTTAATGGAAGAAACAGTCAGACTGCAAAATCTTCGTGATTCAGCTAAAACGGACATTCCTGAAGAACTTGATGTGAAAACAATGTTTAACATGTTTGTTGAAAGGTTTCCAAATCAAAAGATTTCGTATGAAAGTTACCGAACGATATTTTGTTCCGACTTTAATATTTCGTTCGGCTACCCCGGAGCAGACTATTGTAGCACTTGTGGTGCATATCAGACGGACAGACGTTCTGCCGTCAAACGGTTTTTCGATGTGAGGGACGCACAAAACAATGATTCTGGCTACACGTATTAGAGGTTTTTCCTTATACTTAGCAACTGGATTTATCCACTTGTCTGTTACCAAGGCCCGGCATTAAGAGTTTTTGTGTCGAAAATTCGCCGTTTTCCGGCGCACGATTAATTACAACCCTTTCTCTTCATACGATAGAAAGTGCGAGAAAGTAAACTTGCACGAGTAAGAACTACGTGTACTCGCACGCGTCATTCGTTCTGTGACCACCGCCGAGCACTGGCCCGCCACTTCGTAGACCTCTCACGCAGCGTTCAACAGCAATATCTCTTCCTCGCTACGAGTAGAGAGAGGGTTATGTAATGCTGCCCGAAAAAACGCGATTTTTTTAAAACTCTTATTACAGGGTCCTGGTAACGAAAAAGTGCATAAATCCAATTGCTAAATTTAGAAAAAAAATCCTCTACCACGTAGTTGTGGCCAAAATCCATTTTTTGTGGGCCCGTGTTACCAAAAATCGAATGTCTGCAAAACTGTCTGCACCTCTGTGAACAATGCTTACGGCTAAACAGTTCAACCGATTTTCTCTGAAATTGAAATTCCTCCATCAAACTGCATGATGTCGCGTCCCCTCGAATTTGAAACCGGTATTTTAATTTCGAGGGTACATTACGTGAAGCCCCCGCGGCATTTTTTAATGTTAAAAAAATGGCTCCGTTTCTGATTAATTGTTAGATAGTGTGAATAACGTTAAAGGGGTTAACGATGTAGGGGTCATGTTCGTTAAAAATACTAATTTTTCGAAATCGGCAAGTTCAAAAGTTTTTCGGCGTTTTCCTACAACTAAAATATTAAAGATAGAGATTTTTTTGTTCATGAAATCTGTACTTTAAAGATAGATTTTGAAATAAGGTCAGGCACAAATTTTCGAAAACTTGAGTACTTTTCCCGTAATTTTGTGTGAAAGTACGGGCGAGAGAAAACGCAGAAGTGGATAAATCTATTTCTACATTATTGTAAATTATTCCCTTTAACACGTTATGTTGTAAAGCTTTAGAAGTTTTTCCTCTTTTTTTCAAAACAGTCCGTCCATCTCTAAACACAAGTAGCGTCTAATGCACTAGTAAGATATTTTTAAAAATGAATATTCCCCACCCGATCTGGACTCAAAGCTGTGCGATATTGAAAAACATTCTTTAAAATTTGGGGGCCTGTAGTGAATTGGTCTTGGTGATAAGTAATTTTGAAGAAGTGACGGGGGTGGTAGGGTAAGAAGGAAGGAGAAATCTGAGTTTCTTGCGTCAGTTTAGGCAGATAACATTCAATTCGAGATATTAAGGCAATTTAAAGATTTCAACATTACAGTAATTTCAATAAACTCATTAGTCAATATAGCGAATAGATTAAATACTCTCCTGATGCATCCACTTACCATTTTATCAGTCAATGTATCACCAATACTGTAGTAAAGAGCTACTGGTGCAGTTACTTTGCTTAGATTGTACTTAGGCGGTGACCTTGAACCGTAGTGGAAAATATTTGTTGGTCCATAGTCCCACATCTGAAACTCATCTTCATAAAATTGTATACAATTAACAGAATGGTTGTAGAAGATATCAAACTGTTGTGTTATTAGTATTAATAATATATCTTTATATTTAAGACACAAAGGGCTAGTTGCATAGACATTCGATGTGGAATCTATAAGATTCTGTAAAATAGTCTCTAGCGGCAAAAAGTATTCCTGGAACAACCAATAAGATTTATGGAGCTTTCTATATCTTATAGATCCTGAAACGGTTCTACAACTGCTTATAAATTCTACAATTGCGGCGGTAGCTAGTAGAAGGGCATATACTCCAAAACTGTGTATTGAAAAAATACGTAGATTTTTTTCAGTTTTAATTGCAAGTAACATATTCTTTTAATATATCATAAATATTTTTAAACTTAATTTCATTTAGAAAGTAATTAAATTCCTCATAATTTCAAACATATGGCGTAACGAAAAAAAGTGCCTTATAGGTCCTTCTTCTGGAGAACACTATATTACTGAAATGGTGTAAATTATAAATATTATTAAGTTAGTAGTTAGTATAATGTATTTTGGTTGCTAGTTTTTCAGTATACTCGTAGTTCATCTTGTGAGCTATCAGATTCGGGCTAACTTTTGTCGACATTTCCAATGGCCACTTCTTGAGTTCACTCTTCAAAAAAAATTGTTAATTTGTCTTGCTCTCTTCCTTTAAGTATCATAATAAGTCCCAAATATCAGTAACTTTTGTCGGATTAAATGGAACTCGAATGACAGGTTAGATTGAAATATTCTGAGGAACTCTCTCCAAGTAACGAAATATTGCGTTAAAAACCTAACGAATAAAGATAAAATCATGAAAATTCGCTTGAATTTTTATTAAAGAACTCATAATTTATTTCTGCATTCTTCGGAAGCAGGGGCCATAGTCAGCGCCCCCTGGAATACAAATTCAGGCCACGGTTTTGTGACGTAAACACGAGTAGACCCACAAAGTGATTTGTTTATATGAATTGTGCATTGTGGACTCTTCTGTGGTTGTGTTGGCAGCATTTTTTGAGATATTTGATTATTTTAATTACGGAAATTCGAATACGAATACGAAATTCAAATACGGAATACTCATAAAAAAGGACAACACTACAAATATCACTACAAATATACTCTATTAAGGCTAAATGTCCCGACACTAGTACAATTTGTAGGCACCACGTGGCAGCACCAAAATAAGTAGATTTGTAAACCGGCATTTGACGGCCTTTTTAAAATAGAATTTAGCTAACGATGATCCATTTCCAAAATCTAGCAAAAACGCGAATTTGGAAATTAGTTCTCAAACATCCGAGAGCCTATAGCGCGATGCGAACATGCTTCCTGAATCCCAAACGCCGTGGACAATCATGCCAAAATCGGAGAATAGGAAGCGTCGTGAAGTGAAATTTAACAAAACACTTCGCCCCCTACTTCCCCTTCTGTGCCGTTGCGTCGCCCATCCGCCCGTTGTTGGGCCTCTGTCCAGCGCGGTGGCACGGCCCAGGCGGCGTCGTGCGGCCAGCCTGACGGGACGGAACGGAGGCGGTACTTGCGGGACACGCAAGCCACACACTCGGTTTATTGCCGTTCGTTCCCTTTTGCTCTGCAATCTTTTTTCGACGGACTATCAATGACTAGAGATTCTATACTACTATTACAGACCGAGGTAAACGATCTGTAATAGTAGTTACATAACTATCTTTTTCAGCATATTTCCGTCTTCCTTCGAATACCATTTTAAAATTTTACTCAAAGACTTGATTCGATTTTTAACGTATCTTTTTTTAAAAAAAGGAACTAATTGGTGTAAATATCAGCATTATTTCATCTACTCACATCTTATTTTAGATATATTTTACTTCTAAGGTCCTTCTGTTAATCACTCACCTTGGTCTAAGATCTTTCCGTGTCAAATACCGGTAAAAAATGAGCGGAGTATAACGCACGAGTTCTTTTATCCTACACTCTATTTTTGGATCTCAAAACGACGTATAATCTGGCTTTAAAGAGTTTCATCTGGTGACTCTCTTTTACTAAGTAAAATAGTCCCGAAGCTAATTTTAAAAATGTTTTTTCGTACTATCGGAACTCATTAAAAAAATGCATGCTCTTGGCTTGTCGGGTGACGTCGCGCCGAAGGCTGTTTTGTCGACGTTTCGACCATTTTTTGTCATGGCCTTCCTCAGGGCTGGTAATGGCCATACATCTGATGGTATGGACATGGTAAGACCACGGACAGATGGTCGAAACTCGGCAACAATCTTCGACGCAGGCGTCACCCGGAAGCCAAGATCATGCACATCGACTTCTGGCTCGAGGAAGCCTCTACGACTTCAATTTTTAAAAAGTGGTAAAAAGCGGTCTGGCGAGCTGTAATTCTGACTGCGAACGCCGAAAAACGCATCGAAATAAGATAGTATGAATCATGATTTTATACCCAGCTTATTTTGGTAAGTTATTTTGATATAAAATAAATTTGTTATATTTGTAATAATTTTGAAGGAATAAATAATTCCCTGGTGGAGTGCATTTCATACAGACACGTAATGAATAACGGGTAATGAATGCAATTGGATAACTCTAGATGTTTGCCTGCATTTGGAGCATGTTTTTCCCTTTCCATTTTCTTTGTTTTACTTAAAAAAGGTGAAATTTTTAGACAAAGTTATCTAGAAATATGCAAGTATGCAAAACAGTTAGACGTGACATTTTCCGTGACATATATCGGAACACAATGATATATCATAATATGGAACATGTCAAACGAGTTTAAAAATGAAGAAATATTTTTCTGTGAGAAATGATCTTAGGATAATGCTTTAGCTCTAACGCTTACTTCGAACGTAATGCAATCTACACGACATTCCAGAGTAGATATAAAAATAGAGGTTTCTTTCAATTGAATTGTTTTTGAAAATCTTAAAGTGTATGCTTACAGTAACATTTTTTCAAATCCTTTTTTCTCGGCCGAGGGACTGACTTTTACCGATTGGACTGAATCACACGGTAATTCAATGCAATTGTGGTTGTTATTTGCACAATCTCGGCTGTCTCCTTTCTTTGTAATGGAATAATTATATTGCGTTGCAAATCTGTTGTTCACTGTTTTATTTTCCAGATCACATTGCAATAATTGTACAAAAGTTTTGCCAAGATTTTCTTCCCCTGTATCTTTGAATAGTTTCGATGGAATATTATCTCATCAGCCGGGGACTTCCCCTTTTCCAGTTGTTTGTCGCCCATTAATTTCTTCGTAATCTCAGGCTTCTTTATTCCGTAATCATCTATATTTAATACACTACTCTATTGGTAAGCTTTATCATATAAACTTCTTCGTATTCTTCCCATCTTTTCGTGATCCTCTTCTTTTGTTGTATTTATTTTGTCCGTTCTCGTTCTTAAACATCGCCATTGTTGGTTACAGTCCGGGTCATATTTCGGATGATCTGAAAATTTCTTACGATCTCCATTTGTTTTGTTATGATCTTCCACTTTTCGCTTTTTTCTTGAATAAACTTTTTCTTTATCTTGTCTGGTCTGGGCTGGAATGCCCCGTAGAGTTTTCTGCTTCGTCTGGAACATTTGCTTTCCTTTGCATAGAAATATAATGTTTTTGAAAGGAAGAAATATAGGATCTCCGTTGTAAATATTATTATTATTTTATTAACATTATTATTATTATTATTTATTATTATTCTTATTATTATTATTATTATATTATTATTATTATTTATTATTATTATTATTATTATTATTATTAATTATTAATTATTACTATTATTATTATTATTATTATTATATTATTATTATTATTATTTTATTATTATTATTAATTAAATTATAATTAATAATTAATTGGCACGCGTTTGGAGTAAAAACCAAAGTAATATACACACTAAGTATTGCTTATATGCGTACTATATAATCCATCGAATCTTCACTTCGATGTCTGGGTGTTTCCAAGATTTTGTGAAACTTCTTTACATTTCACGAGAAAATCTGGAATTTTTTCTCTGAAGTTCTGATTCAAGTCTGTCCGATTGTGAAAACTATGAGCAAGGTTGTGTTCAACATGCATCGGCGGTTGGTCTTTCATCGCCCACCTGCCGCAAAAGGACTAGAGCAGGGACTGAGGGCACGAACGAACCTGGACTCGCGTAAAGTGGCGCGTAGGGGAGGGGGACGGCCGGGATTTCCAAGTCAATATGGCACTGGGACAGTGGTTCGGAAATAGACAACGTGGAGAATGCTCACACCAATGTTCACTGATACGGCTCGTTACTCGGTGTTTTTCTCCCGCTTTACCATTTTCCTGGCTCCATGTCCACGTGTCTACTCCGGTTTGTTCATGTCCCGCGAGCCACCTCCATTCTTATTGGGAGCTGACTCGATTGCGAGGCTGAGGATGCTGCTCATTTTTTGAAAGCTGCCCCCGCCGAAATTTGCACTACTAGCTGTCCCAAATATATTACGCCGAGTACCATAGGCAAAGAATTAAAACGTCATACGAGCATAAGGAAAACAAATAAGCAATAAGTGGATTCCTCCATGTGTATTTTGTAATCTTCCAATATGGCCTTTTTCTTAACCGGGAGTACTTAAGGCTGCCCAACAGGCTTCAAATCCTTCTTATTTATTGATTCACAGTTTCGGAACAGATACTTCAGTATAGTTTACTACCCGAAAATTGCTGTTATGCAGCGGTGTGTTGAAGAAAGGCCTAATTCTTTCATTTGTCACATTTCTTAATACGAACGTATATTTTCCCTAGCTTATCTGTGTATTGTTTTTGGCCTTTCTACGAACAGAAGCCATACCGTTTTCCAAGCAAAAGTCACAAACCAAAAATAAAAATGAATGCGCTATACAACTTGATTTAAACGAACAAGAAGCAACAACAATGTCAGCTCAATCCATTCGAGTTCATGTCTTCTCAGAACAAGAAACATTCTATATTAGATGAAGTGATATTGAACTCAATACCAATGTTGTTC